AATTTTACTTTCTAATTTTTTTTTTTATCTTTCTGATGTTAAATAGACTTTAGATTAATTTTTATTGGATTTGAGTATGAGATCAAATTTATTTTAAAAATAGAAAATAGAGATAAAATAAAATAGAACGGGAATAAACTAGTTAGCTCTTCGACCCTTGACTAACTTTGAACCTGCTAGACCATCTTTCCACAGGATCCACTTGTGTTAAGTGGGTTCAAAGAATATATATATATATACACGCATTTTACAGAATTTAATCCACATTAAATATCAAAAATTTTAACGAACCGGATTCATTTGAACCCTCTTAATCCTACGTGGATCCGCCCCGGGCTCTGGGCTTTGATCTTTGCATTAGCTTTTAATTTCTTTTTTAATTGAGTCAACAAGAAATCTGAATGAGCGTAAAAGAAAAAAAGAACCAAAACTCTAAAAGCAAGACAAATCTTTTTTGGTAACCTTATCATTACACTAGATGGGACTGGTCCGGGCCAACGCTTTGGATTAGAGCGTATTTTATTTTGATAAATACTGTTTGATAGCGTAAAGAGTGATATGGTAACTCTTGCTTAAAAAGTATTGCTCTGTGATGAAGATAAAAATTACTTGTAAGATTCGATAATATTTATCAAGCAGGTGCACTTGCAAGACATAAGAATTTATGTATTTTATTATTGCAGAGATAAAACTAACATCTAATGCTTTTTGCCACATAACTATGATGAGATAGTATTTCCTAAGCAATAAAAAAACATGTCAGCATATGAATGGAGTTGGTATCTTCTCTGCTGAAAGTATAGCAGTGTATACTTGCCAATGGGTTGAGAGATGGCTGCGATAAAATGAAAGAATGGAATAAGCAGAAAAGCTCATTACTCTTTCCGAGCGGCAGAACAAACACTTCCAATTATAGTATGTTTCACTTTGACAAATATTTTTTCTCAGCGCACAAAGTACAATATTCAGCTGAAGTACATGTATTTTATGTCATGGTAACGGAATAAACCCCATATTGCTCATGTAATGCATATCCATGTGTTGATCTCCACTCATTTTCTTCAACTTTCCAATTTTACACTGAAAAAAGAAATCTAAACAGAGATATAAACAAGGTGTTAATAATGAGAGAAATTAAGTGAAAAATAAATTACAAAAAGTTCCTTCATTTGCTCTTTTCACCAATTGCACTTTATTTCCTCATAAATCACATTTTACAGATAATGCCAACATCTGTAGAGGCGTCATTTGGGATTACACACATAAACATGTATTCTGATTGATCAAAAGACAAGTATTTATTAATCATAACTGCTGGAAAAGTGCAGGATATCCAGGCACACTCAGACATTCAATTCTCCAACTTCTTCCTCCAAGCAAAACGGATTCCATTTTGGATTCTCGAAACAAAATCATCAAAGGTTTTAGTTTCCTACAAGTTGCAAGTCGACTCAATCGACAATACAACATGGTGGGTCTAACAGGACAAATGAAGCTGTATTGCGAAAAAAAGAATAAATAAACCAGGAAATTTATTCAATCTTTAAGAAAATGAAACCACACCTCAACTAAGCTCAGTCAAAAAATCCTTACCAGAAAATGCAGTAAGAAACCACAAACCCAACATTTATGAAGTTTGGGCTTGCAACGCAAGAAACAAACCTGATCCATGTCCACTAAGACTGCTCGGACAAGTTCAGCAAAGTCGTTCTGTAGAGCAGATCTTATAGCAATGCGTTATTCAGTTTTCGAAAGGAAGAAGTATTTATTTTTCATTGATTTGTCATAAGCCGTCACTAATGAAATAATTCTTAATGCATTCCAAGTGTAAGTATTTCTTACAAAGCATAAAAGAATATTTGTAGTACATAAAGCAAAAAAGAAGAATAGGAGATCTATAAATACTGCAAAAAGAATAACCACACTATTAACCTTTATTCTGTTTCAATGGTATCTAAAGAAAACTTGCCAAGTTGGTACCTTATAGTCGTAACAAGTTTTTTTCATTAGCCAGACCAATTCCATTCCACGTCTAGAAAAAATTGAAACCATATATCAGATTGTTTGAAGAAAAACTTTAGCTGACAGATAAACCATTTACTATTAGCACAAACATGGGCAGCCATTACGCATCCATCATATACGTCTTTGGAACCATTCGCGCAAGCTATAGTACAACCTGCATATGCTCTTTCTTTTACAGTTAGAATCATGAGTAGTTCCTAACTGCATGGTGGTAAAAATAAATATTGCCTGATAGAAATTTTTTCTCTTAAGTAAACACCATTATAAAAAGAATATAAATTATGAAACATATGTTCTTAAACAACACTATTAGAAATTCGCTAAAAACTCACCAAAAAAATCGACCAAAGTTGGTCGGTTATGGCCAATTACCGACCAAAACGCGACCATTAGGGTGTGGACGGTGTTTTGATGGTCGGAATGGCTTACCGACCAAAGTTGGTCAGAAATTACCGACTAACTTTGGCCGGTAGCTTAAAACGACCATCTGACAAGTTTAAGTACTTACCAACCAACTTTGGTCGGAAAACATATTTTATTAATTTAATTTTACCGACCAAAGTTGGTCGGTTTAACTAAATTATGTTTTTTTAATTAATTATTAAAATTTTAAAAAACCGACCAACTTTGGTCGGTAATTGAAAATATTTTTTTTTTTAAATAATTAAAATTAAACATTACCGACCAACTATGAACGGTAATCTCAACAGTGCAGGCAAAATACCGACCAAAGTTGGTCGGTAATGTTGAATTCTGGGAATTCAATGTTCATTAACCGACCAACTTTGGTCGGTATTTTGGAATAATTTATCTTTTTTATTAAAAAACGACCAACTTTGGTCGGTTTTTTTGGGTTTAATTTTGGCATAAAATGCCTGTTTTGGCAGCTACACCACCTGCCAGCATACTAATACACCTAATAACAACAACA